TTGATGATCTTCTCATTCTTCAGCTGTTGGTCCCAATCCATCAGTTGCTCTGCTGAATTTCCAACTTTCCATGCTCTCCAATCATAGTAGAGCTGCCAGAATTGGTTATCAGCATCATCCATTTGAGGTTGAGGTGAGGAGGTTGGAAGGCTTTGGACTTGAGGGATTTCTTCTTCAAGTTGTTGAGGACTCCGGTTTTGGGAAGAGGTTTCCTCAGCAGGTTCCTTCTCCTTCAACTTATCCGAGTTGACATATCCAGATGTTGAGGGAGAGGAGAGTTTCCTCTTATTCTTCTTTTGAAGTTCTCCTTGCACAGAGACTTCTTCTGCTTCTTCCACATTGACCAGAGCAAGGTTCTGTGGTGCTTCAACACTAATGGAGGGAGACACCACTTGCTTCCTTTTGACAGTCTTTGCCATATGGATGAGTGGGACATTATCTGATGAGCTTTCCTCTGCAGTGACACTAGCACCAGCTCTGTTTTCCCCTTTTGAAGACAGATAGTATAACCAATATCTTTCTCCATACTTCTTTCCTTTAGAAGCAGCACCCATAGACTCCAAAACATGTCCAATATAGAGACCTTGACACAGGTACTTCTGATTGTGCTTTCCCAGATGTTTTGAGATGGATTTAAAGAAGTGTGCAGCCCAATTTACCTTGGATTGGGTAATTAGAGCGTTGATGATGAAGGCTCTCTCCTGCGTGATGTCATCGGCATGACCTCCGCTTCCACACTCGAGGCAAGCGATGACCAGTTCCAAAACTAACTTGTAGTCGTTGTTCAGATCTGCTTTCTTCGCTGGGCCAGAAGGAATTTGCCCAGAGATTCCAATGATGTTCCAGTCCAGATTTTTGACTGGAAATTTCCCAATTTCAACTCCAGAATTGGGAAGGCGAAGCTTTTCTCCCAATTTCTTTTGCGAAAGCTTCACTTTTGTACCTCCATCAGTGGACTTGATGACTGGAAACGTCCTCTGTGGGTCCTTCTTTGAATGAGCAGTCTTGATCTCTCCATTTCTGTAGAATTCAAGAACTTCTTCTTCAAATTTGAGACGAATCTCCATTTGAAGAAATTCGGAGAGTTCTTGAGCGGCTATCATCTCCAGATAGCTTTGAAAGAATGTCGGTGAAGAGCACTTGGCTTCTTACTTCTGGAAATGAATATTAGCGCCGACAACCTTCATTTTCTCAGAAATTTGAGTGAGAATTTGAAAGAGAGAGACCTAGGGTTCTTGAGAGTTTTTCGCGAAGAAGACGACGAAAAAATTTTGAATGGGCGGTTTAGATCTGAATAGTGGCGATTGGGTTTTATTTGAGTGATTTGCTCGGCTGGTGGCGATTGGGTTTTTGACTATTCCCAAGGCCACGTGCCTACTCAATATTGACAGACGTGGAAAGTAGTTCTCCACGTGTACCGCACTCAGTCTAATTGAATTAGACCAATTTTGTGGAGTAAATCGGAAAACTTGGCTTCACTTAGTGGTTTAGTGAAGATATCCGCCAGTTGTTCTTCAGTTGAGATATACTCGATTTTGATATCTTTCTTTTCCACATGATCTCTGATGAAGTGATGCTTCACATCAATGTGCTTAGTGCGAGAATGATGCACTGGGTTTTGAGAGATGGCTATAGCACTTTGATTGTCACAAAAGATTGTCACTTCCTTTGTTTTGACTCCATAGTCTAGTAGTTGTTGTTTTAGCCACAAAATCTGAGCACAACAACTACCAGCAGCAATGTATTCTGCTTCTGCTGTTGATGTAGAAATGGAGTTTTGTTTCTTACTGAACCAAGAAACAAGATTTCCACCAATGAACTGACAAGTACCAGATGTACTTTTCCGGTCAACTTTGCATCCGGCAAAGTCAGAATCTGAGTATCCTATTAACTCAAATGAATTGCCCTTAGAATACCATAAACCCATGTTTTGAGTTCCTTTGAGATATCTAAGAATCCTTTTAGCTATTATCAGATGACTTTCCTTTGGCTTTGACTGGAATCTGGCACAAACACCTACTGCATATGAGATATCCGGACGGCTTGCAGTAAGGTAGAGTAGAGATCCAACAATTCCTCTGTAGAGAGTTTGATCTACATCCTTTCCATCTACATCCATATCAAGCTTGGTGGATGTACTCATGGGGACTGAAACGGATGACTTCTGATCGACTTTGAATTTCTTGATAAGATCCCTTGTGTACTTGGCTTGGTTGATGAGAGTCCCTTCACTTCTCTGTTTGATTTGAAGGCCAAGGAAGTAGTTGAGTTCCCCCATCATGCTCATCTCAAATTTTCCTTGCATGAGAGTTGAGAACTTGGTGCAGAAATCTTCCTTAGTTGAGCCAAATATAATGTCGTCCACATAGATTTGGACCAGTAAGAGATCTTCTCCATCTTGTAGTTTGAACAATGTCTTGTCAATGACTCGTTTGGTAAATCCATTATCTATAAGAAAGTGAGACAATGTATCATACCAAGCTCTTGGGGCTTGTTTGAGTCCATATAGCGCCTTTTTGAGTCTATACACTTGATCTCCCTTAGTGTGTAACTCAAATCCTGGATGTTGTTCCACATAGACTTCTTCCTCGAGGTTTCCGTTGAGAAATGCGCTTTTGATATCCATTTGATAGACTTTGAAATCTTTATGGGCAGCAAAGGCTAGAAACAGCCTTATAGCTTCAAGTCTAGCAACTGGAGCGAAGGTTTCATCAAAATCTATACCTTCTTCTTGACAATATCCTTTGGCAACTAACCGGGCTTTGTTTCTGACAACAACGCCGTTTTCATCCATCTTGTTCCGGAAGACCCACTTTGTCCCAATGACATGTTGATGAGTAGGTCTGGGAACAAGTTTCCAGACATCATTTCTGAAAAATTGGTTGAGTTCTTCTTGCATTGCATTAATCCAATCAGAATCAGCTAGAGCTTCTTCAATATTCTTTGGTTCCACTTGTGAGATGAAACAAGCAAGCATGGCTTCTAGATTCTGCTGGGCACTCCTTGTGCGAACGCCAGATTGAATATCTCCAATGACTTGTTGAGGAGGATGATCCCTTAACCAACGAAGATTATGTTGATTGGGATTGACTGGTTGATCTAGTTCGGTTCTGGTTGAAGAACAGAAGTTGTTGGTGTTTCCGGATGGATTGGCACTAGGTCGCCATTTCCGGAAGTGTCACCGTTTGAGAGTTCCGGAATATTGGAAGGCTGGACAAACTTTCCGGAAGGCTCAGCACTGTCTGAATCCGGATTTCTCTGTGAAGTCTTCAGTGGTAGACTTCTGAATGGAATGAACTCCGTAGGTTTCATTCTATCTCCTTCATTGACTTCTTCATCCTTGTCTGAGAGATCCAGAACCTCATGATCATGCTTTGATGGCTTGTCAACCACATGTTTTTCATCAAAAATAACATGTATTGACTCTTCAGTGATCATGGTTCTTTTGTTGAAGACTCTGAATGCCTTGCTCACCATGGAATATCCTAGGAAGATGGCCTCATCTGCTTTTTCATCAAAGGTATTGAGATGATTCTTCCCGTTGTTTAATACAAAGCACTTGCTCCCAAAAATATGGAAATATGATATATTAGGCTTTCTCCCGTTCCATAGTTCATAGGGAGTTTTGTTGTGCCTTTTATAAATCATACTCCTATTTTGAGTATAGCAAGCTGTGTTAACAGCTTCAGCCCAGAACCTCTTTGGTAAGGAGGCTTCTGCTAGCATTGTCCTTACTGCTTCCTTCAAGGTTCTGTTCCTTCTTTCAGCTACACCATTCTGTTGAGGCGTCCTAGCTGCGGATGTCTGATGAAGAATTCCCTTTTCTTCACAGTAATGAATGATGATTTCATTCAGAAATTCTGTGCCTTTGTCAGATCTGATCTTCTGAATGGTCTGACTTGCTTGGTTCTGAATCAGCTTCATGCAATGGGTGAGTTTCCCTTGAGTTTCCTTCTTGCTGTTGAGGAAGATGGTCCACGTGTATCTTGAGTAATCATCAACTACCACCAGGACATATTTCTTTCCACTTAGACTTATTGGTGTAACAGGGCCAAATAAGTCCATGTGAATAAGACTTAATATCCTTGTAGTTGAGGGTGCCGGTTTTGCCTTGAAAGTGGACTTGACTTGCTTTCCTTTTTGACAAGCATCACAAATGCTTTCCTTCCTGAATACAGCTTTGGGAAGACCTTCTACTAACCCTTCTTTGGATAGCTTGTTGAGGGTTTTGAAGTTGAGATGACTCAACCTCTTATGCCAAAGCCATAGAAGGTCAGTGTCACCTTTGCTGATTAGGCATGCTTCCTTGACATCGTCCCACATCACTTCATAGATGTTCCTGATTCTCTTCCCAGTGAGAATAACTTCATTTGTGGAGATGTTCTTGAGGGATGCCATGTCCTTGCAGAATTCCAAGGAGTAACCTTTATCACAAAACTGACTTATGCTAAGAAGGTTATAATTGAGACCTTCAACATAAGATACAGCTTGGATGGTTAGTCCCTTGTACACCAGATTTCCTAGCCCTTTAGTAAGGCCGAAATCATTGCTTCCTCCAAAGGTAACTCTTGGACCATAATAGGGAATTAGATTGCTCAAAAGGCTCGCATCACCCGTCATGTGTCTTGAACAGCCACTGTCTAAGTACCAGACACCTGGGTACTTAGCGGCTTCCTGCATTAGGAGGAGGAAGATTTTGGTACCCAATTCAGTTTGGGTCCTGAATAGTTAATGGTGTGTGTCCCTACATCAAGTTTGAAGTTGCAGGGAATTTTCCTTGCAGCTCTAAACTTGTTGGGATTGTAATCATAGTTATAGGCATAAAACTTCCTACGTGCAGGAGGTGTAATTTCCTGTTTCCTCCTAGTAAACCTAGGTTGGTAAGACCTATAGTTTTGTCTAGGTGGTGCATAGTGTGGCCTGTGTCGGTTATAAGTATACTTAAGTGGCACAAATAATTTCTGGGGTGGAGGGTGACTATATCTTGGCATAGTTCTCCACTCAGAATTTCTTGGAAAACTCCTATCTACCCCATAATGAGTATAGCCTCGTGTATAGTGGGGGTTAGAGGGTTTTCTTCTGAAATTGTTTCCTTTTTGAGGTTTGTCCAGCTTCCTATAGTTCTTAGGAGGGACTACCTTTTTGGGAACTTCTGTTGGTTTCTCCTTTTCCTTTCCTTTCTGCTTATTTGGTTTGGCAGTAGGTTTAGGAGGGATGAAAGTTGTTCTCCCTTTCCTTTTGGAACTGGAGGGGTCAAACCCAAGTCCTTCACGACCCTTATGTTTGGTCGTTTCAAGAAGCTTGTCCACTGCTTCTTTGGACTTAAGTATCCCTAGCTCTTTGTTGAGGGATTTCACCTTTTCAGAGAGAGATTCATTTTCAGCTTTAAGTTGAGTGATCTCATTTAGTTGACTTTTCCGACCCTCAGTCAACTTGAGATTCTCTTCACTTAACAACTTGTTCTCTTCGGTTAAGGATGAATGTTTGAGATTTATTTCCTCAAAATCTTCCATCATCTTTTTGAACTGGTCAAAAAGATTTTCAGAAGTTGGTATGCTTTCATAAGAAGATGAGAAGGAGGTTTGTGAGGTTACCTCTTGATTAGCATCATCTTTGGCCATTAGGCAGAGAGTGTCATCTTCTGACATAGTCCACCTGTCCTCATGGTTGGACTTTTCAACTCTGCGCTCCATGCAAACGAGGGCTTCTTCATCCGAGCTTGAGCTGGATGACTCATCACTTTCAGCAGCAACCATTGCCTTCTTTTTCTTCTCGTTTCTTTCTCTTTCTTCGTACTTCTCAACCTTTGGGTACAGGCATGCTGACTTCCAGTGGCCAGGCTTTCTGCAGTTATAACACAAATAAGATTCAGGAGGGGAGTCACTTACTTGTGGCTTTCCTTTGGTTGGCCTTCTGATTGAATCAGCTTTCTTGAAGAACTTCTTGAACTTCCGAAATTGCTTGACCATCATGGCAAATTCCTCATCGTAGTTCTCCATTTTTGAGCTTGGCGGCTGGCTGGAGGAAGGTGTGTCACAACTTCTTGGGCATGTCCCTTCACTTGATGGGACTCTTAGAGTTGTCATCAATGCCGTGGGGAAGGGAGTGACTTGTTCTTCCTTCTTCTTCTTCAGCTCGTGCTCATAGGTTCTGAGCTCGTCAAGGAGACCTTGGACAGTGTAGTTCTCCAGGTTTCTTCCTTCTTCCATGGCTGTGGCTTTGGTATACCACTCAGTTGGAAGTGATCTCAGTAACCTTACATTCTTTTCTTTGGGAGAAAGAACGTGGTTAAGTGATGCAAGATCATTCAATATCTTGTGGAATCTTTCATCCAACATATCAAATGATTCTCTGGGAAGCATTTTGAAGCTTTTAAACTTCTCAAGCAGAACTTCTATCTTCTGCTTTCTCAGGTCCTCTGATCCCTCACATAGCTTCCCAAGACCCTGCCAAATCTCCATGGCAGTCTTGAGATGCTTAATTTTGGAGAAGGTAATGGGATCAAGTGTCTTGAAGATGGATGCTTTGGCGACGTTGTCCAGATTGTGCTTTTTGCAATCTCTATCATCCCATTTTTCTTTGGGCTTTGGAATGTACTGGACTACATCTGGAGTGGCTGGATTCCTCTCAGGATTCTCCATTTGTATTTTCAAGGGTCCATCCTCAAGCACCATCCACATGCAATCATGTAGAGCGTAGAGGTGTGCTTCCATCATGATCTTCCAATCATCATAACCTAGAAGAGAAAACTTGGGTAACCCGTGATCCATATTGTTCACCATTATGATCGCTTCTCGTTAATCTAAACGTAGATAGTGAGAAGTAAGCTCTGATACCAATTGGTGGTCCCAAAGTGGTGAGATACAAAGTCTGGGGGGGGGGGGTGAATAGACTTTGTTTCAAATTTAAAACTTTTTCGTTTCTTTTGAAAACGTGAAAATGAGTGTTAATCTATAGTCCTTGTGAACTTTAGATTGTGTGCGGAATTAGGTGGGTAGAGTGAGCAGTAATCAATATGGATGGGTTAGTTTTCACAATTAATATAATTGCAGGTAAGAGTAAAGATAAAGGAGAGAGACACGCAAACTTTAACGAGGTTCGAAGGTGGGGTAATCCTTCTACGTCCTCAAAATCCACTATGTAGTTGGTTGTTGAATAATGAACCAACAATTACACTTGTGTGAATTTCTGCACGGTATATCTTCGCAAGGCCAATGTTGCTACTGCACTCGTGCTGGCTTTGTTGTTCCTTCGAA